TTTGAGGGTCCTTGTCCATCTGTAGGCCTCCCTGGAGTGAAGTATGGACCCGCGAGGCCCAGGATTTGGAAGCTTTCGAACAACTTTTCTTCCGCTCGTACTCGATGTTTTGTCGAGGTCCTGGAGAGTGGTGCCGGCGGCGTGGTCGGCTGTGCCCGCGGAGAAGACTCCTGCTGCAGCGTCTGCTTGCAACAGGTCACATAGACGGGTGGCTGCTTCCAGGCTGTCCTTCAGGTTCAGGACAGCGTGAAACTCTGCTGGTGGGTCCTGGAGACCCGCGATCTGATGCACAACCTGCGACTTGTCCTGCTTACCGACGGCGAAGTTTATGTCGGCGAGGCGGTTTCGAAGCCATCTGAACGGGCTCTCCAAGGATCTGCAACAGGTCCTGGTCAGATTTTCTTTCTGCTTGGCTCTGACCCACTTGATTTCGGGGGGGCTTGCTCGAGGTGTCGACGAGTGCCAAAGCGAGGTGTCTGTGATGCTGCCGATCGACTTTTCGAGGTCGTGGACGACGGCGAAATAACGATAATCGAGGATTGACTGCTGCAGCTGCATTCCGAGAGGCTTGACGGCATCGGTAAGCAGGGAGTCGGCATGGTGAAGTGTGGCCTGGTTCAGCACCCATTCGCTTGGGCGAGGCTGGGGCCCTATCGGCGCTGCTGAAGGTGACCTCTGCGGCTTCTTCAGCACTGGAACCCGGAAATTGTTTACTACTACCTTGAACGTCCAAGCAGACTGGCCTGTGTGGCGACAGCGGATAGCGGGTCCACGTTTGGACCTTGCCAATCTTCTGAACCAGGGTTTCGCTGATCTGGAAATAGTCCAGGATGCTTTGCGACTTGGGCTTTCGGCGCGTTGGGACCTCGGGGGCAGACGAGCGGAGCGAGGCCCTGTTGAGGACACCGGTGCTTTCGATCTTCGTGGGGGGGGGGGGGGCAAGTTGAAGTCCCTTTGCAACGATAATGGGGAGCTTGCTGAGCTCCTGCTGCACTGCGATGTCTGCTAGCAGGCCCAAATTTGTCTCGCCTGGACCTTCAGACGATTTGAAGCACGTACATCGAATGCCCACGTTGAGAAGACCTGAATCCTCTAGGCGGATGCCCGTCAGGCGGCTGGTGTCGACCGAGGCAGGGAAACCCATGGGCTCGATCCCGAGGTCGAGCTGGTCTCTGATGACGATGGCCACTCCGTTGATGCGCTCGGAGTTGTCGTTCGCAGCTGCTGGCGGAATGCGAGCAAGCCAGCCCCTGCGCTGGCACCGCTGAATCTTCTGGGCAATTACGCCCCCATCGATGAGCCTGTGCTCCTGGACACAAACCACCGTCACGTCATTCGACCAATCTGATTCAAGGAACAGCTCGAACGTGTTCCAGCAACTGCCGTTGAACGTTACCATCTTCATGTTAAAGGCTAGATGGGGTGGCGGGGTCTTCGGCTTCTCTGATCTTCTTGGCGGTCTCGGTGTCGGCGTTCTCCTCTATGAGCTGCGCCGCCTCCGAGAGCGTGTCTGCTGTGCGCTTGTCCCCGTTGCCGAAGCCCACGAAGGCCATGGCCTCGTCCTTCTCCTCCGAGTCGGGGCCGACTGGGATGTGCTGCGAGCTCTCGGGCGGGTGCGGCGCGGCGGCGAACAGCGGCGGCGCCTGGGGCGAGGCTGCCTTCGACGACGGCGGTGGCATCTGCTGCCTCGGCATGGTGGGCCCCGCTGCGCCTGCGGGCGGCATGATCGGCGCTCCCATGGCCTGCTCGCGCTGCTGCTGCAGCTTGTCGAACGTGGCGGCCAGGGACTGCACTTTCTCCTGAAGCTCAGGAGGGGCCGCACCACCTGTCGGGATCTTGGCCTGCAGCGCGGCGTAGACCAGCTCCGAGATGTCATTCTGGGCTGTGGCCTCTTGCGCCGCCGCCGAAGCTGCCATGGCACGCTGGGCCTCCAGCATCTGCAGCTCCTCCTTCGCGTCGGCCATCTCCTTCGCGCGGCTCTGGCACGCTGTTGCCAGCGTTGCAATCTGGGCGGCGGTATCCTGGAGGTCGGTTTCCAGGTCGTCGAGATTGGCTTTGATGGCGGTGATCTGCCCGCTGGGCGACTGCGTCTGTTGGTCCATGCTCTTGCCGCGAAGCGCCTCCATCTTCGCGTGCTTGTGAACCTCCAAGGCGTCGTTGTACTCCTTGGCCTGGACCCCACTCCACATCCGCCAGAACGTGACCCGAGCCCGGGCCAGGGCCACAGGGTCGGGCGTTTTGGGGCTGTCGACGGGCTCAGCGTCAGCCATGGCGGTGTCCCGTGGCTCGAAGCGGGTGCGCTGCTGGTGCCCTTCTCCGCGGTGGCCTCGTGGTGGGCGAGATGCGGGGCGGCTCGATCGTCGATGGCCCGACGAGGGTGGCTGTTGCGGCTTGAGCGACGCGCCGCAGCGACAGCAAGCCTTGGCGCTGGCCCACTCCCACCCCTTTGATCCAGCCTTGGTGCACACCAGGTAGCGATGACGAGGAGGCATGCCGCGACTCTGCAGGAGCGGGAGGGCCTGGGACGAGCACAGGATAGGAGAACCATTGCTTTGCCCTGGAGCGCTGCGCTCCAGAAACTCTCGAACCTTGGCCACGGATGCAGCCAAAGCTGATCGCTGATTCTCGGGCGTCAATATTACTTCACAATGTTTGGCCTTCAGCCAAAATGGCTACGTGGTAGGAGGAGGAGCAGGAGGAGGAGGAGCTGGAGGAGGAGGAGGAGGAGGAGGAGGAGGAGGAGGAGGAGGAGGAGGAGGAGGATCTTCGGGAAACTAACCCACAAGTCTCGCGATTCTGGAGTTGGAGGAGGAGGAGGAGGAGGTGGAGGAGGAGGAGGAGGAGGAGAAGGAAATGACATGTTGGCGTATGTTGGTGCCTCTTGCCAAAAGGCTTCTGTATACGCCAATCTGCGCCAATGTGCGCCCTGGAGGGCGCCTGGAGGTTTTTGCGGCCCTCTTGGGGCGTCTTCGGGGCCTCTTGGGGCCTCTTGGGGCCTCTCGGGGGCCTCTCGGCTCGGGACCCTTCCCCTCCAGTCTTTTTCCTCAATTCTTGGCGCTCCGCCTATCCTCACCGGCCCACCCAGCATCGATACCCAGGCGAGACGCTTTGATACCCAAGAAGCGCAGGAGCACGCCAGGGCTCGAGCTCAATCAACGGTGTTTGGGCGATTTCGTGGACCGTTTCCGGTTAGCTTTCGTTTCGCAGCAAAGGCAGAACGAACGCGGAACGAAGGATAACGAAAGCAGAAAGCCTGTACGAATGCAAAGGACGAAAGCAGAACAATCACGAAAATCGCTGTTTAGCTCGAGCCCTGGAGCACGCAGTGGAACAGATAGGGGGCAGCCGTCAAGCCGAGGCTCGGGATCCAGCCTGGGCAGTCCCCGGAGTCGAACACAGATGCCTTCTCGGATGTTTCAATCTGGAAGCCTCTTGGCATTTTGCTTGGGCCATCTTGGGGCCCTCTTGTGGCCCTCCCGGGCCCTTTGGTGGAGGTCTTTGGGGCTCTCTTGGGGCCCCTCTTGGGGTTCTGGGGGGACACCTCGAGGCCATCCTAGGGGGCATCCTAGCAGACTTATTTACGGCCTCCTGTCGCAGGCAGAACAAATACCTCTTGAGGCTCTCTTGGGGCGCCAGTGTGTGCTCTTGGGGCCATCTTGGAGCTCTCGTCGGACCCTCTTGGGGCTCTCTTGGGCCATCCTGGAGCCATCTTGAGGCCTTAGAGCCCCATCGGAAGTGAGAAGGCACACTTCACTGAATTCCCAACGATTTTGGAAGAGTCTTGGCCTCTCGACGGCGTCCTTGGGAGGCTCCGTGGTCACTTGGAGCCGTGGGGGGCGGTCTTGGGACCTCTTGGAAGCGTGTTGAATGCTATTGGAGTTATCTTGGGCTATCTTGTGCGATCTTGGAGGCTATCTTGGAGTCATCTTGGGCCATCTTGAACGCTCCAACGCCTCGCGCCACCACCCCCCCCCATCCGGACCCAGGGCCCAAAGGGGAAGAAGGGGGCTGGAGGATGAAGTCCAAGACTGCCTGCGCCCAGAGGGCTGGTGGGATTACCTTTCCCCCCTTCCCCCGTCTCCTGGTGACGAACTCTCTAGACTACTCTGGGTTTCTTAATAGGCGTGGGGGGGTCCCCCCCGACGGGGTCGGAGCGCCTTCGGCGCGCGGTGGCTGTCCGCGACGGGGGTCGATGCGGGGCTGTCGGCGGGGGTGACGCCCCCCCCGACGCTTGTCAAGAAACCCGGACTGCCTGCGCCCAGGGGGCTGGTGGGATTGCCCTTCCCCCTTTTGTCGCCTCCGCGTGCCTGCTCCACCTCCCGTTTCACGTGCGCCTCGCGCGTGCCGGGCGCAGGGCTTCTCGGGGGCCCCGAGGCCGCGTGTGGTGACGGACTCCTTGCGGCGACCTCGAAATCTCGAGAGGCCTCACTTCCGAGGTGGGAATTCATACGTGACCACCGCCTGGGCGATCAATTTTCGGGGACCTCGGCAGGCGGTTGATATGGATATATTGGGCCCCCTGGGGGCCAACATATTTCTATACCCACCCCCTTCTGGGGCACCAGGACGTTGTTTCCCAGGCGGTGGATCTGGATAAATCCCCGCCTCGCATCACCGCCCGCTCCGCCACCCCACGGTCCTGGGGCGGCCCCCAGACCATGGCCGCCTCTCCTTTCCTTCGCTTCGAGGGGATCGCCGCGCCGCTCTCCCGCGGCTGTCCCGCGGCCGCCCCGCCCGCCCTTTTCCGTGCGGCGGGGGGTCGCCTCGACGGACGCAAGCCGCGGCCTCCTCATTGGGGCCTCGGAGGCCCCGGTCGTCAAGGACGTCCTCAGAGAACGACCTGGGTCTCAAAACGTTGCGGTGACCCCGAATTCCCACCGACTCACCTCGCGGTGTGGTCCCGATCGTCGTGCCCTCGCAGCCACAGCTTGTGCCACTCGCGCGCCAGTGCTGCATTTGTGCCCGCGTGCTGGTGCCTCGCTGCGGGCGGGCTGAGGTAGATGGTCGAGGTCGGTTGGGGGAGGGTGCCCTCGTGTTCTTCGTGTCTGTCGGATGGTCTCGCGCATCCTGGGGGAGAGTAGCCCTCGAGTGTTCTTCAGTTCGGCCGGTGGAGGGTCTCATGTTCTCGAAGGATGTTATCCTGTTCTAGGCCCAGCGGAGGGTCTCGTGGTTTTCGCGGATGCTCCCCTGTTCCGGCCGGGACTGGCCGTGCACGCTGCTTCACTGTGCCGCGGGCTGGCCATCACCCTCTGCTGGGCGGGTGGGGGCTGACCGCCCGCTTGCGCCGACCCTGGCCAGGCCTACCCTCCGAGCTTCAGCACCGTCAAACGATCTCTATCCCCTTCTCCATCCCCGTCCAGATCCCCAGCATCCCACCACCCTAGTTGGGGATATGTCCTCGAAACTCGAAGGGAACAGCCTGCATACCCATCTCGGGGGGTGAATCGGCCAGTGTGGCCCAGGCCACGCCCGTGGGGATAGGGATCGGTTAAACGATGCTCAGGCCAGGCCCAGGCCTACGCTCCGAGCTCGGGGTCGGTGCGTGCGCCTTCCCTTCCTGGAAGGCTCTTTCGGGAGTCGCGCGCCCGCTCGCCCTGGGCCCGGGCGCGGCCCGACCAGGGCCGGCGCAGGCGGGCGGGTGGGCTTAGATCGGGGGCCTTGGGACGGGGCCAATGCAAACGGGGGTCGGCCAGGGCACGGGAGCTTGCCGGATCTTGCAGAGCCAGGATTGCATTGACCCAGGTTATGCCGAGTTTCTTGATCAGCGTCGGGGGGGCGTCACACCCGCCGACAGCCCCGCATCGACCCCCGTCGCGGGCAGGCACCGCGCGCCGAAGGCGCTCCGACCCCCGTCGCGGCGCGACGACGAGGCGAGGTTGACCCCCGTCGGGGGGGTACCCCCCCAACGCGTATTAAGAAACCCAGAGTACTTGAAGCGTGCAGGATCCTGCAGGATTCTGCAAGGCCTGACTGACCCGGGTTTGCATTGACCCAGATCCGCAGATTTGTGGTGACAGCGAGGGATGCGGAGAAGGGGCCCTTCAGGGCCCCTGAAGGGGCCTTTCTTGAGCCCCAACGGGGGCCGTCAGGGCCCGAGAAGTGCACTCTTCTCCCCCCTCTCCATTTTTCGCCCCCCCTTCAAAAGCGACGCCGGCTTGTCTTCCTGGGTTATCTGGCGGCTCGAGGCATGGGCCCCCAGACCCTTCGAGGCTAGTCCGTTCCGAGGGGGGAATTTATACGAAACCACCGCCTGCAGGATCAATTTTCGGGGACCTCGGCAGGCGGGGGATATGGACATATTCGGGCCCCTGGGGGCCAAAATATATTCATATCCACCGCCCGCTCTGGCAGCAGGACGTCGGTTCCCAGGCGGTGGATATGGATAAATCCCCGCCTCGCATCTGCGACCGGGGATCGCCTGACCTTCCCAGGTCCCCAAAGTGGCTACATTGCCCCATGCATGAATCACCACCCACCAAAACACCCCAACCCAACCCGAAGGCCCCGATTTGCCCTCCATTCCCAGTGTGGGGGGGGGGGGCGTCGGGGAAAACTGAAAAACACAGTGGAACCCGTAGCCCCCCCATCCCGAGATGTGGGTCTTCGGGTTAGGTTGGGTTGGTCAATGAAAACCTCCGCCTCGATGTTTTCGAGCCGCCTGATGTCCGGCCCTCTGGAGGACTCCAGGGCTCTCTTCATGGAGACTCTTGTGGTCCGACGAAAACCTAGGTTTTCGGGCCCGCCCCCCCCCCTGCCCCCTGGAGGACCTGACCTTGTCGGTTGCGCAGGCCCGAGGGGGGTTCGCAGTGTTGGTGCGCGCGGGCGTACTTGGCGCGGCCTGGAGCGAGAAGGTTCGGTTTTCGGCCGGCACCTCCCCCTCCCCCCCACTGGATCTAACCAGGGCTGTCGCCGAAAAATACAGAACGTCTCGTGGAGGTCTCGCTGTCGCCAGAGGTTCCAGGAGAGAATCTTTGTAGGCTTTTGGGTCCCCCCAGTGGCCTGAACATTTCCAGCCACCTGCATTGGGGGCGCATCAAGAAGCCACATGCTTTTCGTCAGGGCATCCTGGGTTTCTTCGCTCCGTGCGCTGCGCGGTGACTTCCCGCGGCCGTTGAAGAAGCTGCTGCGTTCAGGGTGCTCCGGGTTTCTCCTCAGATGTACTTCGCGCGCGGGTTTTCAGGGTTAGGTTTCTTGCGAGGGTTTCTTGCGGCCGCGCCCGCACTGTATACTTAGTCACCCTCGACCCTCTTCCTGGCACGACGCAGGACCGGACTGGCATCGTCTGCTCCCAGTACATCGAGGCCATGCTCGACACCAGATTCACCGCCCCTGTGACAGGCCGCACCATCTCCGCCTTAAAACATACACGCAGACGCCCTCTAATTAAATTTTCCAAGGCCTCAGGGGAGGATGGCGGTGACAAAAATCACCATCGCGAGCCAGCGACTTTATACACCGCCGCCCTCCCTGAAGGTACATGCAAAATATGTCGGAGGGTGCCTGTGCATATATATATATATATATATATATATGTAGATGTGTCGTAACCATCGGCTCTCCGCCGTGCGCCCCTGGCCTTGTCCCCACTCCCCTGCCCTCCCCCGCCCCCTTATGTCCTCCGTGTCCCCCTTGGGGCCTCAGGGACCTCTCGCCTCCATCCCGATCCCTCCTCATCCCCTTCCGAAGACCTGCTCGTTCTCAGCTTCCCCCCTTCCTCCGCCCTCTCACGGGGCTGTCCCGACCCAACCTAATTAGCCCATCCTTCTCCCTCTGAGGCAAGGTTCAGTGGAGCTGAAACGGCATCGGGAACGCCTCCGATTTTCAACGTTTGCTGGCTGAAGAAGCTTCCGTTGTTTGGTGCGTCCCCACGAAGGTCCTCAATCTCCTCCTCCTCCTCCTCCTCTTCCCTGCCTCCCTTCCTTCCTCCCTCCTTCTCTCTCTCTCTCTCCCTTCCTTTCTCCCTGCCCTTCCCTCTCCTCTCTCCTCCATCCTCCCTTTTTCCTCTTGTTCCATCTCCAGCTCCCCTTCTCTTGTTCTCGCTCTCTCTTTATCCTTCTCTCTCTCTCTCTCTCTTTGTTTTCTCTGTCTCTCTCTCTCTCACTCCCTCAGTGTCTCTCTCTCTCTCTCTCCTTCTCTCCTGCTGCAGCCGCTGATGCTGCTCTGGCTCCTCCGCCTCCGCCTCCAGGCAGGTCAGGCGAAGGGGGGTCGATCTGCGCCGTTGCTGGTGCCGACATTCCCTCCCTGCGGCCGATGCCCGCTGCCGCCCCGCAGACGCTATCGTCGACATCTACGCCGAGTCTGCGCCGCGCAAGCCAGCGCCCGGCTTAGGTCCTCGGTTCAGGATGTGGGGAGGACAGGACGGATGGTGGTGGCAGTAGTGGTGGTGGTGGTGGTGATGGTGATAATGATGAGGAGGAGGAGGAGGATGAAGAGGAGGAGGAGGAGGAGGAGGAGGAGGAGGAGGGGGAGGAGGGGGAGGCGGTCGGTGAACAGAGGACATAATACTGAAGAGGAGGAGGAGGAGGAGGAGGAGGAGGAGGAGGAGGAGGAGGAGGAGGAGGAGGAGGGAGGAGTAGGAGGAGGTGGACGGAGGACGGAGAACATAGTACTGAAGAGGAGGAGGCGGAGGAGGAGGAGGATGATCAGGAGGAGGAGGAGGAGGAGGAGGACGGAGGAAATAGTACTGAAGAGGAGGAGGCGGAGGAGGAGGAGGAGGAGGAGGAGGAGGATCAGGAGGAGGAGGAGGAGGAGGAGGAGGAGGAAGACGAGGAGAACCAGGAGGACGAAGGTATGGGGAGGTCTACGACGCCCTCTGCAGAAGGCTGCCCCCTATCTCGCCCCACCCCGTGGGCCACGCCGTCAGCAGAAGGTCGACGCCTCCCCAGGAGACCCTGGCTCGAGTCGGAACAGGATCCGACAGATCTGGATCACGAGTGACTCGTTGCAAGTCGGGCACGTCACTCTACAGGAGAAAATATGCAAACATAGTCAACAAGTAGTCGGTGGACGATTTTCCGATTATTTTTTGAATATAATTTTTCATTGTTGGGGGACACGCCCGACCTAAGGCCCGCTTCAGGCCGTTCCCGAGGACCCTCCGCACGCTACGAGGCTCTCTGGGGCGGCCGTGGCGCTCGTTACAGCCCCGCGGACCCGCCGGCATTCGGAGACGATCCCCGAGTTTGTTTTTTCGCACCCAGCCCTGTTCTTCCTGTCCACGGGGAGTCAAGGTTGAGGTTTTCTCCGAAGGGCTTTGGCGACCCGTCCTCCTGGGTTTGCTTTAGCATGGGATTCAGGAAATGAGTGAGGGTTTTCGCTTGCAGCTTTTCCTCTCAGGGAGGGGAAGCCGGTGACGCGGGGCTGCATGGCCCTGGCGCTGCGGCCGCAGCACGCCGCCGTCGGCGTCGTGGGTGCCGTGCTGTTGCGCCACGCAGGCCTGCTGTACCAGGCCTTCCTGCACCAGGCTGGCTGGGGCGCCGACAGCGGCGTGGAGGCGGCGGTGAGCGCCGCCCGCAAGGCCGCGGAGTCGGCCACCATCGCCGCGGCGGCGGTTGCCGGGGCGGGCGCGGCCCGCAAGGAGCAGTGCCAGCGGCCGCCCGAGTGGTTGAGCCTGCCGGAGCCTCAGCCCTGCCCCGAGCCGCCGGCCTGCGAGTGCCGGTGCGAAGGAGTCGTGGAGAAGGTGGTCGACGAGCACGCGTGGTCGGAGCTGCCCGCGTGGCAGGTGCTCGGGTCGGCCGTGGGCCACATCCTGGTGGTGAGTGCTGGCAGGTGCTGCGCCCGACGTCGCCAGGATGGCGGGCAGGCGCGTTCGACCACCGCTACGGATGGCGGCCAGCGCGGAGGAGCCGAGCCTGCGCGTGCCGCAGTGGAGAGGGACGGCAGCCCTCCGACTGGCCAGCGGCCGCGCCGTCGGGGAGGAGGCGTTCTGGAGTGAGCTCCTCCCTGGCGGCTATGTGGCCGTCTTCTACAGCGATGACAACGTGTGGCACGAGAGACTGCTGCTAGGCCAAGTGGATGCGCAGCACTGGGTGATCGAGACTCCCGACCACGACATGTACGTCGAGAACATTCTCTGCTCCAGCCCTGAGGACGTCCCGTGCCGCGCCGTGGTGCTGGAGGACAGTGGCGCGCTGCTCGTCTTCTTGCGGGGCCGCACCTACCGCTTCAAGGAGTACCTTGGGGAGGAGGACCTGTTGGCTCGTCTGCGCGAGGCGGGGCAGCTGACAGTCGAGATGGGCTACGACAGGCCCCGCACTCGCTGTACCTGGACTCTCTGGGTGAGCGTAAGCCGATGCCCGTGGCTGAGGCTGCTGTGCGTCGCCGCCGCAAGGGCCCGCCGGTGCCGCCACCGTCGGAACCGCCCCCGGCTATCGGGGATGGAGCTGCAGGGTGGCCGCCTGGAGATCGGCCCGCGGCTGACCACCTCAACGGGGGAGCCCTGCGGGAGGAGGTAGGTGGCACCGCGACGCCTCCCGCCCTGGAGGATGCCGAAGTCTTGAGGAGCTCGACTCGCTGGGTGTCCATGGAGACGCTCGGCGCCATCAAGCGCGGGGACGAGATCGAGCTGGCGGACAGCGACAAGGTGATGGGCGAGCGGGCGCTCCACAGGCTCCCCGACGGCCAGGTCATCACCGCGTGCCCCGCCTCCAGCCTCGCCGCCATCCAGGAGGTGCGCGGCGCAGGAGATGGGGCCGACGCCCGCGTGCTCTCGCCGGTCGTCTACGACCCAGGAGGACGCCGCTGGTCGGAATTCTCGGCGGCGGTCTCTCGCATGCGGGTGGAGCCAATGGGCGACTTTCCGCTGGAGGGCGAGGGGTCGGCGCTGTGGCTCTTCCAGTATGTGCGGGACCACGGCGGGGCCTTCGATGCGCGGCAGACGAAGTGGGCCATGGAGCAGCGCATCGCGCCTGACTCCACGGCTTTCCTGATGCACGACCTGGTGGGGCTGGCGCTGGACTTGTCGGTGTGCTACGACCAGTGCGACGGCGGCGACCTCGCCAGCGTGGAGGCGCTGGCGCGGCTGTACCAGCTGGTGGAGGAGACCAGCGGAACACTGCAGCTGGAAGGGATCGATCACTACTTGGGCCGTGACAGGGCGGGAGGGCTGCGTCGTGGTGTGGCGCTCAACCCATCGCTGGCACAGTGCGCGACGGAGAAGAAGAGCAAGGAGACGGAGGTGATGAAGCAGCGGAGGAAGGCTCGCGAGGAGGAGGAGGCCGCCAAGAAGAACAAGGGAGGCAAGTCAAGTGCTGGCAAGGCCAGCCCCTGAGGGAAGGCAGCGCTGCGGAGGCCCCCGGCCGCGGCGGGACGCAGAAGGGGTCAATTCATCGTCGGAATGCCGCTGCTGGGAAGGGGGGCGGTTTTCTTCCCCTCGCTTGCCCACGGGTAGAGCAGCGCGACAATGGGAGCGCGCGATTGTCGAGGGGCACTGAGCAGAGAGTTCGTCGACAATTGAAGATTCAGGAGGCCACGTGCGACACCATTCGCGCGATCAACCTCCTGGCGGGTTTTGAGACGCCCGAGGTGGAGTCCGTCACCGATTTGAATGGCCCCTCCGCCTTGATCTACAGTGATGTGCGGGCGTTGCGCTCGGCCCGTGCCTCCGTGCCGGGGAATTCGTTCACTCCGAAGGAAGCCTTTGATGAGCTTCTCGGGAGCACGCCCTCGACCTACACGGATGGTGACGAGAGTTCCCCCGTTCGGCCCTACTCGCGCGACCTGGTCAAAGGCAACGCGCCCGTGCCCCTGGCCACCAACGCGCCGCTGGACTCGCTCCAGTACTTGACAGAGGGCCAGCGTGACGCGTGGCTGCGGCAGCCGCGCGAGGTGCAGCAGGTGCGGCAGGACGAGGGTCTGCCGACGCTGTATGGCGACGCCAATTTGACGGGGGACCGCAGCGCCTACATCGGCTTCATCCAGGACGGCCTCGCCCGCGGGATCTTCCGCCTGGCGCGCCGTCGGAAGGAGGCCATCCAGATATTCTTCGTCAAGAAGAAGGACGGCGAGATTCGCATCGTGGTGGACTGCCGTCGCAGCAACCAGCATTTCGTGGACGCGCCCAAGGTGCACCTCTTCTCCGGCAGCAGTTTCGCCGAGGTGGAGGTCCCAGAGGGTCGTCAACTTTTCTATGCAGGGGGAGACGTTCAGAACGCGTTCTACCAGCACCGCATGCCGGCCTGGCTGCAGCCCTACTTCGGGATGGACGCTGTGAAGGCGAGCGAGGTCGGCATCGCACAGCTGGATGGGCAGTACCTGGCCGGGGACACCATGCTCTATCCTCTGATGAATGTGGTTCCCATGGGCTGGAAGTGGGCACTGTGCATCGTTCAGCGCATTCATGAACACGTGCTCGACGGAGTACCCGAGTTGGGGCCGCGACGTCGGGCGATTGACTTTCGACCACCGCCCCTGCCAGAGGAGGGCGCGCTGCGCGCGGTCTACGTGGGCAACGTGCTGATCGAGGGCCGCGACAGGGACGAGGTGACGCGGCTGCGCCGAGTGGCGCGTGAGGCGCTGCAGGCGGCGGGCTACGCCACCCATGACGAGTCGGACGCAGCCGAGAGCATGGAGATGCTGGGCGTCGTGCAGCAGGGGCAGCCTTGCCGCGTGGCCATTGCGGCCAAGCGGTACTGGAGGCTCTGGAAGGCGCTGGAGTGGATCCATCGCCGGCGGCCGCCGATGACCAGCCGCCAGCTCGAACGGCTGATTGGCCATTTTATTTTCGTAGCCTTGCTAAAACGTGAACTCCTCAGTTGTCTGCGTGCTAGCTATGACTTTGCCCGAGGAAATTTTAAGGGGCCCAGGATCCGTTGGAAAAGCGTTTTCCGCGAGCTCCGCTCGACCCACGGGCTTCTGATTTCTGCCTCCCGGGACCTGGATCCAAACTGGTCCCAGGATGTCCTGGCTTATGATGCATGTGAGTCTGGGCACGCTACAGTAAGGGGGGCCTGGGCGGTGGGAGACGCACAGTCTGTAGGTAGGTGGCATGAGAGGTGGCGGTTCAAGAACGACGAGGACCCAGCAGGGTTCAACCCGCGCGCCAACGCGTTGAAGGACGTCTCGGTGCTGGGGGTTGGAGTCTGGGAAGGTAAGGAGGTCGATTTTAGCAACGTCTACGTTAATAGGGAGTTCCCCGAGGTGCCCGCGAACGTGGTAGAGTCTACGTTGTGGTCGGTCGAGCGATTCCAGCCCGTCTTCACGTACGAGCCGATGCATGTCACCGAGATGTGAGGTTTTTTGGGAGCTATTCGTCAGGCCGTGCAAGATCCAAAAGACTGGGGTCGTTCGTGGTTGATATTGGGAGATAATCTCGGGCTCATCTTGTCTCTCTCCAAGGGCAGGTGTCGAGATCCACGTCTTCTCATGCTCCACCGTGAGGCCGCAGCGTGGGCTCTAGCCACTCGATCCAGATTCGTATGCCGATGGATACCTTCTGAACTTAACCCCGCCGATGGACCCTCCCGCAAGCGAGAGCCATCTACGAAGAGCAATGCAGTCAGCGCCAGTTTGGCGGCCGAATCATCTTCGCCCGAGGGGCAGGTCAGATCAAAGCCAGCAGGTCACCAGCCAGCCGAGGGTGCCCGGCAGGCCGAGCGAGGCGCAGGAGGGCAAGCGGCAGAAGACCGGCCTGAACGTGTCGAGCTTGGTCGGGGCCAACCCCCGAGCTCCGGGTCACCCGATCCTGGGCCTGCTGGAGCTCAAGGAGGCCGAGCGCGAGAAGGAGCTGAGGTTGCAGCAGAGGCGAGCCGCGAGGCGACTGGCCACCCACGGGGAGCTGCGGGACACGACAGAAGGCCCCGGTATCACCGAGGAGGCCTCGCTGACGCTGAAGACCCGAGGTCAGTACAAGCGACTGCTCTCGGATTTCCAGACGAAGCAGAATGTCGTGGACCTCAGCCTGCACCCGGCGGAGCTGGACGCCCACGTGGTCTGCTACTTCGATCGGCTTTTTCTCGAGGGCAAGGCGCCGTCGACAGGGGAGAAGCTCATTGCAGCGATACAGTACGTGGTGCCGGTGTACAATGCCAAGGGTATGATGACCCTGCCCAGGGCGACGCGGTCGCTGCGGGGCTGGCGCCGCCTGGTGCCCAGGCGGACCCGCCGACCCCTGCCGTGGGAGGTGGTGGCCGCGATCGCGGTGAACCTGCTGCGCATGGAGGGGCTGGGCATGGCGCTGGCCTGGCTGCTGATGGTGGACACCTACATGCGGCCGGGAGAGTGCCTGGACCTCAAGACCTCGCAGGTGCTCAGGGCAACGTCGCAGCGGCACATGGCGTTGGCGGCCATCCTGCTGCACCCCGCCGAGCACGGCCAGTCCAGCAAGGTGGGGGCGGCGGACGAGAGCCTGATCGTGAGTCGCCCCTGGCTGTCGGACATACTGATGATGTACGTGGACGCTCGCCCCAGCGGAAGCCCCCTGTGGAACTTCAGCCTGAAGCAGATGAATGCGAGCTTCATCGCCGTGTGTGGCGTGGTAGGCATCAGCTACCTGAAACCCGTCCTGTACATGGGGCGGCACTCGGGTGCCAGTCTGGATCGACTCCACAACCGCCTCGACCTCGCCGAAGTACAACGTCGGGGAAGATGGAGGAGCATGGCGTCGGTCAGGAGGTACGAGAAAAGGGCCTTGGTGCAGGGCGTCTACAACAAGCTAGACCAGCGCAGCCGTCGCATGTGCACCAGGTGCGCACTCGAGCTCGAGGCAACCATGCTGAGAGCCGGCAAGCAGCTTCGCGCACACCGAGGCGTGCCGCCAGGAAAGGCTTCTTCGTGATTGAAGTTTTTCAGCGGGTGTGGCAGCTTCAGTCGAGCCGCGAGGCGGAGGGGGATCGATGCGTTCGCTTTCGATATTTTGCCAGGCCCGCAGGGTGATGTCACACGTTTCAGTGTACAACGGCGCATCCGAAGGTTGATCGCACATCCTCGCTGCCTCGGCCTGCTCTGCGCCCCCCCGTGTACCACGTGCAGTATTGCGAGAAGGCCAATGATTCGCTCCAAGCAACATATCCTCGGGCTGCCAGATGTTCAGCCCCATATTCGGAGACAGCTCGAGATGGGGACCCGCCTCATGCAGCTGACGGCCCAGTTCTGTGTCTACGCTTCTCAGCGCAGCGCACCGTGGGTCATCGAGAACCCGCAGACGAGCCTGATCTCGTCCACCCCCGAGTTTCAAGGCCTCTGTCGAGGCCTCAACGTCGAGAACGTAGTGACTCACATGTGTGGTTTTGGGGCCAGATGGAAAAAAAAAACCACGACCCTCTGGTGCGCTGGACTGATAGGAATCGAGAACATGATTTTCAAGTGTGGTAGCTACGGAACTAAGCCCTGTGAGTACTCCAAGCAGCCCCACATCGTGTTGACTGGAGGGGACCCTCTGGGGGTCCGTTGGACCAAGCGTGCGGCCGCTTATCCCTATCGATTTGGGTCCTGCCTGGCCAAAATCTTCATCGACAATGGGTTTGCTAGAGTACTGGGGGCTGCCTGCTGTTCCGGTATTTCGGTGGTGCCTTGGGCGAAAGCTAGACTGAGCTGGAGTACCTCGAACCGCTAACGAGTTTTGCGTATTTGGGGTGGTATCAATATTTTCAGGGCGCCGACGCGCCCCCGCTCAGGTATGTCCCTGGATCCGTGCCGCCTCGACGCACCAAGGATTGCAACAGGAATCAGGTTCAAGAAAAACTGGAATGGCATGACTGATGGGTTTGCTTTAGCATGGGATTCAGGAAGTGAGTGAGGGTTTTCGCTTGCAGCTTTTCCTCTCACCGTCCAGCAGCCCCACCACCGCCCTTACTTGTTTTTTGAATCCCAAGCCCCCTTGCTGGGAAACCGATCAGCTTTGTGCTGATTGCTGCATCTTATATAACCGCTAACGCGGATAGTCCTGCTCACCTCGCCCTGGCACCACACGGGTGGTATCAATGTTTTCAGGGCGCCGACGCTCCCCCGCTCAGGTATCTCCCTGGATCCGTGCCGCCTCGACGCACCAAGGATTGCAACAGAAATCAGGTTCAAGAAAAACTGGAATGTCATGACTGATCCTCCTCCTCCTCCTCCTCCTCCTCCTCCTCCTCCTCCTCCTCCCCCCCCCCTCCTCGTCCTCCTCTCCTCCATCTCCTTCTCCCCCTCCCCCTCCTCCTCCTCCTCCTCCTCCTCCTCCTCCTCCTCCTCCTCCTCCTCCTCCTCCTCCTCCTCCTCCTCGGGTCGTCTACGGCCCTGGGGGAAACCGCGCAGGTCAAGGTAGCCAGCTCGGGGAACTTCTTGGTTTGCCACCGGACCCTGCTCGTTGGCCTTGGTCAAACGCCAGGAGCGGCGCTCTCGGCGCCAGACGGCTTCGAGAAGACTCCTGGGCTGACTTCGCCGCTCCGAGATCCCAACAAGGATGGGGTCGTCAAGGTTGGTTTTTCGAAAGGTCGCAGGGCGTATGGATTTGTGCTGTGTGGAGACATTACCCCATCCAACCCCGAGGCCACGCCACGGTTTTCCATGATATCGGCCCAACGGGCTTGTACGGCGATGCGTCACCGACAGCGTCGCAAGAATCGCCCCTCCTCTCTCCCCTCTCTTCCCTCCTACTTCTCTCCTTCCCCCTCGCTCATCACTCCTCGCTCCTCTCTCCACGCTCCTCCCTCCTCGTCGTCCATCCTTCCTCCCTTCTCCTCCGTCCTCCCTCCCTCCCTCACTTCCTCCTCTTCGCCCCCCTCGCTCTCCTTTCTTGCCATTGTCCTGCTCTCCTCTTGATCGCTCGAATTTCACACGGAGCCCAGAGCGGCCTCCGGCACCGTTTCCGGACGGATCCGCTGGATCCGCTGGGTCCGCTGGGTCCGGTGACGAATCCCAAACCGGCGCCCTCGCCTGAGACATCCTCGCAAAACGGGCCCCGGGGGGGATGCCCAGAGGAGCCCAGAGCGGCCTCCGGCACCGTTTCCGGACGGATCCGCTGGATCCGCTGGATCCGGTGACGAATCCCAAACCGGCGCCCTCGCCTGAGACATCCTCACAAAACGGGCCCCGGGGGGGATGCCCAGAGGAGCCCAGAGCGGCCTCCGGCACCGTTTCCGGACGGATCCGCTGGATCCGCTGGATCCGGTGACGAATCCCAAACCGGCGCCCTCGCCTGAGACATCCTCACAAAACGGGCCCCGGGGGGGATGCCCAGAGGAGCCCAGAGCGGCCTCCGGCACCGTTTCCGGACGGATCCGCTGGATCCGCTGGATCCGGTGACGAATCCCAAACCGGCGCCCTCGCCTGAGACATCCTCACAAAACGGGCCCCCGGGGGGATGCCCAGAGGAGCCCAGAGCGGCCTCCGGCACCGTTTCCGGACGGATCCGCTGGATCCGCTGGATCCGCTGGATCCGGTGACGAATCCCAAACCGGCGCCCTCGCCTGAGACATCCTCACAAAACGGGCCCCGGGGGGGATGCCCAGAGGAGCCCAGAGCGGCCTCCGGCACCGTTTCCGGACGGATCCGCTGGATCCGCTGGATCCGCTGGATCCGGTGACGAATCCCAAACCGGCGCCCTCGCCTGAGACATCCTCACAAAACGGGCCCCGGGGGGGATGCCCAGAGGAGCCCAGAGCGGCCTCCGGCACCGTTTTCCGGATCCGCTGGATCCGCTGGATCCGCTGGATCCGGTGACGAATCCCAAACCGGCGCCCTCGCCTGAGACATCCTCACAAAACGGGCCCCGGGGGGGATGCCCAGAGGAGCCCAGAGCGGCCTCCGGCACCGTTTCCGGACGGATCCGCTGGATCCGCTGGATCCGGTGACGAATCCCAAACCGGCGCCCTCGCCTGAGACATCCTCACAAAACGGGCCCCGGGGGGGATGCCCAGAGGAGCCCAGAGCGGCCTCCGGCACCGTTTCCGGACGGACGGATCCGCTGGATCCGCTGGATCCGGTGACGAATCCCAAACCGGCGCCCTCGCCTGAGACATCCTCACAAAACGGGCCCCGGGGGGGATGCCCAGAGGAGCCCAGAGCGGCCTCCGGCACCGTTTCCGGACGGATCCGCTGGATCCGCTGGATCCGGTGACGAATCCCAAACCGGCGCCCTCGCCTGAGACATCCTCACAAAACGGGCCCCGGGGGGGATGCCCAGAGGAGCCCAGAGCGGCCTCCGGCACCGTTTCCGGACGGATCCGCTGGATCCGCTGGATCCGGTGACGAATCCCAAACCGGCGCCCTCGCCTGAGACATCCTCACAAAACGGGCCCCGGGGGGGATGCCCAGAGGAGCCCAGAGCGGCCTCCGGCACCGTTTCCGGACGGATCCGCTGGATCCGCTGGATCCGGTGACGAATCCCAAACCGGCGCCCTCGCCTGAGACATCCTCACAAAACGGGCCCCGGGGGGGATGCCCAGAGGAGCCCAGAGCGGCCTCCGGCACCGTTTCCGGACGGATCCGCTGGATCCGCTGGATCCGCTGGATCCGGTGACGAATCCCAAACCGGCGCCCTCGCCTGAGACATCCTCACAAAACGGGCCCCGGGGGGGATGCCCAGAGGAGCCCAGAGCGGCCTCCGGCACCGTTTCCGGACGGAGAGGACGCCCAGAGCGGCCTCCGGCACCGTTTCCGGACGGACGACCTGACTGCATAACACGCCTGGATATGCCGACGGGGGCGAAGGAGGAGGAGGAGGAGGAGGAGGAGGAGGAGGAGGAGGAGGAGGAGGAGGAGGAGGAGGAGGAGGAGGAGGAGGAGGAGGAGGAGGAGGAGGAGGGGGAGGGGGCAGGCGAGGGAGCCCCGGCCCTGGGGGAGGGGCCCTGAGGGAGCCCTGATGGGCTTCCGGCACCATGGAGAGGTCCTGTGGGGCGGCCGCCCCTTCTTCTCTCGGTCGTTTCCCTCTCGCCCAGAAGCGCGCGCCCCTTCTTCTATATATACAGAAACTCCCGATCAACCGCAGAGCGGCGGATGTTAGTGCGCAGTCTCTTGAGCGACGGGGAAGGTGCTGTACCTCCTCACCGCTGGCAGCGACCCCACGCTTTCCATCGACGAGCTTGCGAAGAAGAGGAAGAAATTTCCTACGGATAAGGCGCCTTCCCCTTTGCCGATAATGACCAGAGAGGGAGAGGCAGGGATGGATAGGGAGGTGGAGCGATGCGGGATGCGGGGCGAGGCGAGAGGGGAGTGGGGAGGAGAGTTGAGGGAGGAGGGATAAGGATAGGCGGAGGGTGGAGGGCTTAGGGCGTTGGGCGGAGGGAGCTGGGATATCTCTGAGGCTATTGCAAAGTCAAGCTTCAGGACCATAACTGGTGAGGAAGTCTCAGGCGAAACGCTCGGCCCGCCAGACCGACACGTCTGCGGGTGGGACACGGAAGAGTTATTAACGAGGAGAAGGGATTGAAGAAGGTCAGGAGGAGGGGCGAGGAACAATGAGATGCGATGAGGGAGGCGGGATTAGGGGGGGAGAAGGAGGAGGAACCGGTTATAATCATGCTGGTGATGATGTTGATGTTGATGAGGACGAGGACGATGATGAGGATGCGAATGGCGATTCTGATGATGCTGCTGATGATGATGATGATGTCGCTGATAATGATGGTGATGATGACGATGCTGATGACGACGATTATGCTTACGATGTTGATGATGATGATGATGATGATGATGATGATGATGATGATGATGATGATGATGCTGATGCTGATGCTGATGCTGACGACGACAACAATGATGATGAGGAGGATGATCAGGATGCTGATGTCGATGCTGATGCTAATGATGATGGTGATGGTGGTGATGATGCTGCTGCCGATGTTGTTGCTGCTGTTCATGATGATGTTGAGCAAGATGATAACGAGGATTAATGATGAGGGCGTCACCGGCGATGGTGGCGATGCTGATGATGCTTCTGATGATGCTGATGATGGTAATGATGATGATGCCGATGCCCATGATGATGATGATGATGATGCTGATGCGGATGTTGCTGATGCTGATGCTGATGATGAGGATGATGACGACGATGACGATGACGATGATCATGCTGATGATGTTGCTGATGATGATGATTGTGATGATGATGATGCTGATGATGATGATGATGATGATGACGATAGTGATGATGATGACGACGATGATGATGATGATGGTGATGGTGATGATGATGATGATTATCATGATGATGATGATGCTGCCGATGATGCTTATGATGGTGGTGGCGGCGATGGTGCTGCTAATTATGATGATGCTGCTGCTGATGATGATGATGCTGCTGATGATGATGATGATTCTGATTCTGATGATGGTGGTGGTGGTGGTGGTGGTGGTAATGATGATGATGATGATGATGCTGATGATGATGATGATGATGATGATGATGATGATGATGATGCTGATGATGATGATGATGATGATGATGATGATGCTGATTATGATGATGATGGTGGTGTGGTGGTGGTGATGATGATGATGATGATGATGATGATGATGATGATGATGATGATGCCCGGTACCATGATGAAGGAGGAAGAGGGGGAGGAGGAGTAGGAGAAGGAGTAGAAGTAGGAGTAGGGGTAGGAGGAGGAGGAGGAGGAGGAGGAGGAGGAGGAGGAGGAGGAGGAGGAGGAGGGAGGAGGAGGAGGAGCAGGGGCATTAGGAGTGGCAGACTGAGCAGGGTAGCAGACCGAGCACGAGGAGCCGCTGAAGCGCAAACAACTCCAGCAGGATGCCGCGAACGGGGGGGCGATCATGATGAGCCATACGCAATACGATGACGGGGAGGATAAGCAGGATGGGCTGGTGGGTTTCCCCGAAGGGCTTAGGCGACCTGTTTTCCTCCTCCTCCTCCTCGTTCTACTCCATCTCCCCCTCCCCCTCCCCATCCTCCCCCTCCTCCTCCTCCTCCTCCTCCTCCTCCTCTTTCTCCTTGGGCCGCCTACGGTCCGGGGGGAAACCGTGCAGGATGGGCACGACGATGATGCTACTACTGATGATGCTTTACCTGGTCAGGGCTGGACCTGAACGCCGTTTTGCTGGATTTCGGCTGTGTTTTGTTTTTCGTTTTGGGATGGAGGTGCAGGAGAACAGGTAGAGCAAAATTAACAACACAACGGAAACAAAACGAATAACAACGTTTAGGTCCAGCCCTGTACCTGGTTATGAATGTGATGAACAGGTTGATGATGAAAGCGAGGATGCTGACGACAAGGAGCAGGGACGGAGGATTGATACTGCAAATTGAGCAACATGCAGGGAGCGAATAATTTTGAAGAAGGAGGTGGCATGGAGGAACTGCGAGGGATTGAGCAGGGTTATGAGGGCGAGGGAGCATGGAATAACGATAGTAGAGGAGGGAGGAAAGAGGAGGGAGAGAGAGAGCGCTCGGCAGAGGGCGACGGGTCTCGCCGATGAAGCGACACGTGCGACATGGTGCGAGGGTGGCCCCCCATGTGCCGTCTGGCCACAACCTCCCTCTGGCGGGCGTTCGGGCAGCCGGTAGCACGTGCTCTCCTCGTCCTCCTGCGCGCCATCCACTCGAGCTGCGACTCGACGCCTATCCTGACACCCCGCGGAGGGATCAAGGCTGGAGCTTTTTCCAGCGAGGCTTGCCTGAAGTGCCCTGCTTTGTTTTTGAAGAACCAGTGGATGGTAGGCCTGTGCCGGCCTGCTTCTCGGGGTTTCCCCTGGCTCCCCCGGTTTCTTTGGTATTGTCTCCGTGTGGAGGGTTTCTCCGTAGGGCTTAGGCGACCCGTCCTTTTCCTCCTCCTCCTCCTCCTCCCTCCTTCTCCCTCCTCGTCCTCCTCCTCCATCTCCTTTCCCCCTCCCCCTCCTCCTCCTCCTCCTCCTCATCCTCCTCCTCCTCCTCCTCCTCCTCCTTGGGTCGCCTACGGCCCCTGGGGGAACCCGTGCATCTCCGTGGTGTCTTTGAGGTGCTGGCCTTCCTCGGGTTCCCTGGGCTCGCTGGGTTCCTCGGTCTTGGTCTCATCTCAGTTTTTTTCAGGTGCCCCTCTCCCGGGGTGCCAAGCAATGCCAAGCAATGCCCAACAAAGCTACGCAATGCCAAGCAAAGCCAATCAAGGTCAAGCAATGCCAGGCAATGGCACGCAATGCCACACCATGCCAAGCGACGCAGAGTAATGCCAACCGATGCAAGCAAATGCCAAGCAATGCGAAACAAATGCAAAGAGATGCAGCGCAATGCCAAGCGATGCAACACAGTAACACGAAATGGCAAGCAATGTGAAGCAACGCCATGCAGTGCCAAGCAATGCCAAGCAATTTCAAGCGAACCCCAGCAATGTCAAGCATCGCAGAGTAATGCCATGCATTGGCAAGCAACGCCGGGTAATGCCAAGCACTGCTAAGCAATTCCAAGCACAACCACGCAATACAAAGAAATGCCATGCAAACAGTGTCAAGCAACGCCAAGCATTGCGAATCAACGCCAAGCAATCCCAAGCACTGCCAAGCAATGTCACGCAATGCCACGCAATGCTAAGCAATGCCAAGCAACGCCAATCAATGCGAAGTAAGGCCATGCAACGCGCAGATCAATGCCAATCCATTCCAAGCAATGCCAAGCATTGCCAAGCAATGCTATCAACGCTCAGCAACACAAAGCAAGGCCATGCAGTACCAAGCAATGCCTTTCTCGTGCTTGGTTGCCTGGGAAGCTTTCTGCTAAATCGGATCGCGCCGGGTTCAGTTTCTCATGCTGGGCTTCCAGGGTACTCCAGGGACATGCGGGGTCCTCTAGGGGGAGGAGTCGGACGTGCCTAGAATCGAGGTAAATCCGTTCCAGAGCGTTCCAGAACGGTCTCATAGCGTTCCAGCACGCTCTGAAACGGCCGCGGCGCCCGATGCATCTTCCAAACTTGCCGATTCTCAGAGATTTCCGATCTGTATCGATCCGATTTTGTCTCGATTCTGCTATCCTGAAGAAGGGATGAGGGACGCCCCACTTTCCCAGAAGAGAGATAATTCTGAGCGCAGCGAGCCAAAACGCAACCTCCATGACGGGCTCTGCATACCTACCTTTCGCAGGTGCCTTCGGGAGGTGGGGCCGAGCGCCCCTGGGCCCAGTCATATCTTGAGGATCGACATGGGTACGGAGATACTGGTGACGAAGATGGGCACCAATTTTCGGAGGAGGAAAGGCTACCCATACTGCTACCCTTTCCCTCGATTTCGCCTTTTTGGGCCTCCTGGGAGGCCCTCGTCGCCACGGCTGGATCCGCCTCGAAATCCTGGTCAGAACGCATCCCGGGAGTGGTCCGAGGAGTAGCGGTTTCGGTACCATTGCGTTTTCCTAAGCTCCTGTCCATCTTGAACAGGACTCACTGTCAGTGTCGCCGCGGACGATGCGATTTGATTTGAGGGAGGTCCACCACTGAGAGAAGGGAGTGAGACGCAGCGTCTCGGGCGACGCGTTGCAGTCAGAACAGCGGGCTCGGCCAAGCGATCAAATTTGCTGCTTCTTCGGAGCTGCGCCTCAAATTCGAAGAAGTGGAGGCGAGCGCGTCGAGCTGCCAGGCGAGCCTGCAGAGGCTGGTTGGCCCCAGAGCGCGAGGAGAATGCCTGGTGTGCCGCTGCAGGCGGGCCGCTCACGCGGCAACAGAGCCCGCACCGCGCGGGTGCTCGAGGCCTGCTGCACAGGGTCTCGGGGCTCCAGAGGACGAGATTTGACCAGTGCGAGTGCTTTGGCGGACCTGCCCTACGGCTGGACGCCGGGGCACTCCTTCGCTCAGGCGATCGCAAACATGGATCAAGGGGGCGTGGATTAGCGACGGGTCCCGTGGCCATGGGAAATCGCGCATTTCCGCCGCCGAGCGAGGCGGCACGGGCCGCATTTTGGGGAGGGCACCTCCCCCGATCCATGGATTTGGCGACCGCGCGCCAAATCCACGGAACGACGGACCCAACCTGCTTTAGCCTTGACCGCCAGCGACAATTCCGAGCACCAAGGAAGCACCGAAACCGGAAGGCCTTCACGTGTCGGGCCCTGGGAGGCGACATTCGCCCGACACTGTTTCGATACCTCTGTGGGGGCTCGAAACTATTTCTGGGATGTGGTCCCCAAGTGCGATTGGA